GTTATAGCTCAGGTTTCAGTGCAGAGGGCATCAAGCACCTCTACAGGCTGTCGCGGCTGGAGATGCTACACCTCCAAAATACAATTGTGTCATACAGTGCTCTGGAAGGCATTGGGTCCTTGACTAGTCTCAAGAGGCTTTCTCTCCATCAGTCCACCGAGGTGACCGACGCTGGCCTGCTGCAGTTGACAGCTCTGCCCTCTCTCACAGTGCTGCAGATTACGTACTGTATGAGCGTGACAAATGCCGGCATGGTGCATGTGGGGAGGATGATAGGGCTTGAGGTTCTTTGGTTGATCGGCACGCCAATCACGGATGATGGGCTGCAGCAGCTGACTGCCCTGACCAAGCTGAGAATTCTCTTGCTGCCAGAAGGGGGTGAACTTGAGAACGATGCTGTGCGCAGGCGGATAAGCAGGTAGGATGGCAGGGGGTGATGCTGGAAGGGGAGGTGGGGTGAGGGAAGAGTTGACTGTGACTGTCTAAGGGATACTGAGGAGAGCCGTGGAGTCAAGGGGTGTGAAGAATAGGGAGACTTGACAGAAGTGTGAAAGGCTATGCATGTGGAGGAGTGGGGCATGGAATGGTGTTTGTGCTCTGCTGTTCTTGCACATTGCATGCAGTTGGAGAATGGTTGTGGACCAGGTGTGTTGCACATTGCAGGTCACAGATGCAGGGCTGTTTTATCAAGATACCACGTGCATGAGACGAAGCTGTAAAAGCCATGCTTGCCTGGCTTTGGGTGCAGGCTGTACAAGCCTTCTTAACGTTGGAGAGGGTATGCATGCATGCGAAACCGAAGTCAGGGCACTGTTTTGTGTAATCTACCGTAAGATGTATCGGTACATTTGTGTACAATTCACGTGTTCTGTCACGTCGTATCAACATCTAACGACTTAACAATTGAGGCCCCATCTTGATTGTTTGATAAAGTGCAATAGAACCACAAACCAGAACTAGTGGTACAGCACTGAAGAAGTTTGTATAACCATGGTATCTCAATGATCCAAGATGGTGGACATGAGTGGCAATGACTTGCCAGAGGAAGGACAGGCTCCTAGGTTTCTCTGGTGTGATGGCGGAGAAAGGAGGACGACCAAAGATGGGGAGGCACCGCTGGTTCATGCAATGGGTGAATGACAGAAAGGGGAAGACAGCTGTATTGTAACAGTGAGAGATGAGGTTTTGTGACAGAGTTGCTGCTGCTCGTGGTTTACAAATGAGCTGCTGACAATTAGAGAGAGTTGGGAGAATGAGCGCGGTACGGTACTGGAAGCAGTGCGTGGGTGAAGCTCTCAAGCTCCTCACACACACCCCGTTCTTGTCCCGCACTCGGAATCCCCTTGGCCCAAGTCATGCCTCTCTTGCCACTGACACTACCACTGCTGCTGCAACAGCAGGCATGAAGGTCTCAGGTGGGCCAGGTGATGTGCGGGAGGGGTCAGTGAAAGCCTGTGGGAGGGGGTAGCGGAGGATGTACAAGCAGCACAGGAGGGCGAGTGGGGCATCGAAACGGGAAGGGGGGGGGGGGGGGGGAATGCAGCGGGACGGGTGATGGTGGATGGGGGAAATGGGAATATTTCTAAAGCAATACATAGTGCAGACTCAAAAGGTGCGGTGCTGCAACAGCACAACGGGCAGCTGGGATACCACTTAGCTCTCACGTGAGCAGGGGGGGGGCATCAGCAGCAACAGGTGGAGGAGCGATGGAGTCGGGTGTGCCAGGGAGGCCTGCAGTGGGGTTTTTTACCCCAGCTGCCACTCTCATGCTATTTCTTCTGCGGCTTCTGTTCCCCGCAACCCTTGTCCACCAGCAGCAAGCGAGGCGGGGGGAGTTGATGAGACGAGAGGCGAGGTGAAGCGATGGGTTCAAGTCGGGAGGTTGAAGAAGCTGAGGGAGGGAAACAGGGGATGACGGGGTGGGAGAGGGAGGGGGGGGGAAGGGAGCGGAAGAGAGGTTGGAGGGGGGATAGGAAGGAAGGTGCGGTCAGGTGGTTGGAATCACAGCTTTTTGAAAGACGATTAGAGTGCATACCACCAAGGAAGAGAGGGGAGTGGGTGGAGAGGGAGGGGGCGAGAGGAGAATGGATAAGGTGTGGAGGAGGAAATGTGATGATAGAATATGTGAGTTGTTGCATGAGAGTGGCTGCGTGAGGACCGTGCTGTGGGAAGTGGGCTCCACATCACTAGTGCAGGACAGGTGCTGTTGATGGAAGGGAGGGAAATTAGAGGGGGGCGGGAGTGGAGGAGGGAAGGAGGGATGGGGGAGTGGGGAGAGCACACAGAAGCATAATTTACTGTGAGGAAGGGGAGAGGTAGATAAAAACGCGCCAGAAACGCCATCTTGAGCGAAGACATGGTACAACGCCTCATAGGGAGAAGAAAGGTGCCTTTTATCGAACTCAGATTGTCTCACCTCCGAGTTTGCACCACCGTCGCTCTGCTAGAGACGAGGGAGAATTTTTATGTTAAGAGTGGTAGATGGGAAACTGGAGGAAAAGGGAGGGGGGTGAGGGAGGTTGGAGAAGTTGGGGGGGCGGGGAAGGGGTGGAAAACGGGGAAGGGGAAAAGGGAAAAGGAGGAGGGTTTGGGTGTTTTTGAAGGTCATGTGACACCTCTTGATAAACATCCAATAAAATGGTAATCTTTCCATGCTTATTTACCCTCTATACCCATCCCATGGGGGGAAGGGTGGAGTGGGAGAAATGTGGCAATGGTGCAACAAAGCAGATGAACGATGATGATGGAGACACGTGACACTGCACGGCAGCTTTTCTAGTCAACTCACAAAGGGTTGACTCACAAAGCGCTGCAGTGCACAAGAGCCAAGTGTACTTACAACATTGCATGCGACGCCAAAAGCAGGGGAGTGAACGCAAGTAAATGAGGCAACTCATGCAGGCGCACCTTCAGACATGGCAGAATCCCACATTTCACAGCTGTGCGTGTTTCAGCATGCAAGCCTGCCGTTAACCCCACACGGCCATGATGTAGTCTCACGTCCATGGGCCATGACTTCTGCTGCCCCACTCTGAGTCGCTGCTGCCTGGCCGACTCCCCACTCCCCCATCCCTCTAATCGAGCATGTGAGTGAGAATGTGAGTGAGAACGGGAGCATGGGAGCAGTGATGCATGGGAAGATGGTATCAAGAGAGCAATAATAGCTTGGAGGTGCATTTGTGACAGACATAGTTTGACACAGTTAGTATACTACCTTTATATCACGCAAAAATCTACTTATACTACTAAGCAACCAATGCATTGTGATGAAGTGTGAAACACACAGCGACGGCATAGGTGGGGTGACCTGAGGTGGGATTCACCTGCTACGCCAGCCATCTTGCCTGCATACCTCCACCATGCTACTCAAACCCATATCCTCCATGGTACCATTTTCTCCTCACGTGTTGCCTGCCACCATCATACGAGTGGCTGCTGCTAGAGGTAGTATCGTGCCACCGGTGGGCAAAGATGTCTGAGGAGCAGTGGAATAACGTCTTTGGGTGAAAGATGCTGCAGCATGATTTCTGCCATTCTCTTGTGCATACACATCCCCAAATCACATTGCTTCACCCGTGCTGTCCGTCTACATGTTTGTGCAACAAAACCCCGTCACCAAAAGCATCTGTACCTTGGTCTGTTATGTGTGCCTCTACTGTTGTTGCCAAGCCAATTCTCCATCCACAGTGAAATATACATCTCAAGCCTCACTCGATTGCCATGAGAAGCATCTGTGACTATCTGTGGCTATCAGGACAAAGCCTTCCACCAAAACAATGCAGGGAACCACCCCCTCAACGCCACGATGCATCTGCTGGATCTTGCCAAGGCCTCAATCTTCACTGGCCTCCATGCCAAGGCAGGGGCGATAAACTCCGCCATGTCACCTCGTCTCCCTTCCCTCCCATCTCTACCAGCCAGCCACCCTACCCTACATGCCAATCCGCTTGCGCAGATCCACACTGAAAACTTGCCCTCCTTTTGGCAGCCCTAGGCATATCAGTTCAGTGAGAGCAGTGAGCTGCTGCAGCCCATCATCTGCAACTGTAGTGCCATCCAGCCGAAGGTTCTTCAGCCTAGTCAGCCTCCCCACATCCGCCATGCCAGCTTTGGTCACGCCCTTGCATCCAGAAAGCAGTAGGGACTCCAGAGAGGAGAGCGCTATTAGGTGTGGCAACCCAGCATCAGTGACTGCTGTCCCACCCAGCAGAAGTTCTTCCAGCCCTGTGAGCCTCCCCACATGCACCATGCCAGCGTCTGTCACGCCGTTGCATTCTGAAAGGTGCAGCGAATAGAGAGAGGAAAGAGCAGTCAAGTGTGCCAAAGCAGCATCCGTGACTGCCGTCCCATCCAGCCAGAGCTCTTCCAGCCATATCAGTTTCCCCACATCCACCAGGCCAGGGTCTGTCACACCCGTGCATCCAGACAGGTGCAGCGATTTAAGAGAGGAGAGAGCTGTCAAGTGCGACAGCGCAGCATCTGCGATTGCTGACCCATCCAGGCGAAGTTGTTCAAGAGCTGTCAGCCTCCCCACACACACCATGGCATCAGACGTCACACCCTTGCATCCAGAAAGCACCAACACTTTGAGCGAGGAAGCATCCACCAAATGCAGCAGCCCAGCATCGGTCACATTCGTCTGCTTGAGATCAAGGTCGTGAAGACTGGTCATGCACCCTATGCCTTCCAGAGCACAGTCTGCGATGACTGTGTTGTTAAGATCGAGCATCTCCAGCCGTGGCAGCCTGTAGAGGTGCTTGACGCCCTCTGCGGTAAAGCCAGAGGCAGATTGCAGGTGGATGTACTTCACATGGGTCATTGTGGACACATGCGCGAGCATGGCATCTGAGAGGCCCTTGGAAAAAGAGAGTGACAGACTGGCATCTTGTGATGCTAACTTGATCCTCTGGAGGGCCTGGACAAAAAGGATGGATGGGAAAGACTAAGCGGATCAGATAGTGCACGCCCTGCAGAAAAATGCATGTCTTGTATAATAGTTATCACTCAGCACTCTTCTCCCATGCAAACTCAAAACGTTCACTTTGCCCAAGAGCAAGCTTACTCTTCTTCCATCTCTCTCTTTCAAGCTTAAAAAGCAGCAAACACAGCAGCAACCTCGTGATGCTCTCTTCTAGGCAGCCACCATGCATGCACCCAGCACTCACCTGCCATGCCTTCTTCTCATCGCCTTCACTTTTCCCCATTGCCTCCTCAACCCTCAACTGCATCACAGCATCCTGGTGTTCCTTCACCTCCCTCATCTCTGCTCCCCTTCGCCGTTCAGCCTCCTCCAACTCCCCCTTGGTTGCTGCCAACTCCCTACTTGTCGCTTCCAGCTGCACGCCAAGTAAGTTCATCCTCATTTCCATCGCCTCTTTCCACTTGTGTGTTTCAGCCATATCCACGATGGCAGTTGCAACAGCCTCACCCACTCCCATAATCCCAGAAGTGAGTCTGCGCAGCAGACGTGGCTTCACGTGGCTGCAGCATGACAACGGCAAGGAAGAGAAGGCAGGACGAGTGGTGAAGTGAGTGGCAGGAGGGAGAAGGCGGAGAGATGGGAGAGGAATGTGAAAATGCATGGAAAACAGGAGAGACGGCATGAAGGGGAGAAAGGTTAACGAAGGGGAGGGGATAAAAGAGGCAGGGCTGTGCTGCAGTGGTGGAGGTTGGAGCGCATGGCATACCACGAGGCACTTGCTTGCACTTCTCAGCCCAGCCTTCACAGCCAATCCCTGCTGATGCACCCATGCTCTGACTTGCGTGTGCGTCACGCCCATCCACCAGACCAGCATGCCAAGAGTAGCGATGACGAAATACAGCACGAGGACATGCATTGCACCTGGAGACTGCAGGTGTCGAACAAACAAGGGCGTAAGATTGGCACTTGTGATGTGAGGGGCAAGCAATAGGTTCGTAACTCTGTGACATTGAATCCCAAGGGTAGCAGCATGGCTGGTCGGCTGTTGCAGCAATATCAAAAGCCTGAGTTACCCCAACACGCACCAGGACTTGGCGGCACTGAGGAGGCATGTTGCGAGTAGCGGCATGGTGAGAAGAAGTGGCAACTGAGTGGGCATGAGGAGTAGAACCGCATGTGGCATTCTGACACGTGGCAGTGGCATTGGGCTGCGAGGCAGAGAGCACATGCATGGAAGCACGCAATGTGGGACATGCACCCACGTATGTGCACACGCATGTCCACACAAACAAAAAACATGGAACAAGGCGGTATAGTTCAGTTTCTGATTTTGCATAAGAATACGGGAGGTATCATGGCAATGGCACGTGCTTACATGAGGGAGGGAGGGCGAAGGCAGCATGAGAGGGTGGTTGACTTGCTCGTTGTTGGTGTCACGGTGGAAGCTGCAAGAGAACGACAAAAGGGAAGGAAGGAAGGCACAGGTGTATGCTGAGACTCAAGGAACGGAAGGACAAGGACGTTGAATTTGTAAGGAACACACGTCATGGTAGTGGCGATCACTCAAATCATCGGCAACTGAAGCACGCCAACAAGCATCCCTGCCAAGCGGCATGACCGTGATGACCATAAAGGTAACGCCAAGCACGAGGCCAGCCAGCAGCCCTGGCAGCTGCATGGGCACAGCACAGCATTCATCCGAGCCATGGCTGATGGGGCGAGCCCAATGCAAGGCGTGCGCCTGCGCAACACAACACAGTGATGTGCGGCAGGGTAAGTGGGGGGAGAATGGCAGTGGTAGGGAAGGAGGGGATAAGCGGCCTGCACAGTGAGGTGCGGCAGGAGCAGGGGAGGGGAGGGGACAGGAAAAGGAAAAACAGGTTCTGTACTGGCTGAATCTACACAGGAGGCAACGAGGCGAGGCAAGGGAAGAAGAACGAAGTGCAAGGCCGAAGTGCAAGGCTTGGGTGACGAAACACGAAGGCACAGATTCAGAACGATATTGGGATGTCTGAATGAACATGGTGAGATCGTAAACGATGTACGTACAGGATCAGAAAAGGAGGCCCGATGACGATGGAGACGACTCAAGTGACCGTTCTTGCTGCATGGACAGACGACGGTGGAGCAAAATGGCAGACGCAGCATATGAAGGTCAAAGGAGCATATGGCTAGTTTCCGTCAAGGATGGATGCAGGAGGGGAGGGTGGGAGAGGGGGAAACGGAAAGGCAGCCGGGAGAAGTCTGAAGGACGTGCTGAGTGCGGGCAGCAGATCTAGTAGGACAGTCACACAAGAGGAACGAGTGGAGGCAATAGGGGGTAAGGAAAGGCGAGGAGTGGGATAGGAGAGAAGGAAGCAAAATTCAAGAAGGAACACGTCAGATACAGGGAGCAGCAGGACGGATCGGGTACCCTGGTGGGCGGTGGCAGCAGGCTGGGCGGTGGCAGCAAAGCGGAATGGCCGTTCCTGGAGTACGTGCAGGTGTGCCCGACTGGCTGCAGCGAGGTGCCAGCCGAAAACGAGGCGCTTGCACCCGACCGAGCGGGAGAGCAGACGAGGGAGGCGAATAGGAAGGGCGAGGGAGGGGCGAGGAGACAGGAGGTGGCAGTTGGCGGCAGCGAGCTACCAAGGGCCACTATCACGCTGTTGAGGAGTGGATTCGAGGGAGGGTAGAGCCTACAAGCGGCGGTGCAGGGAGTGCAATCAAAAGATATGGAGAATGAGAGATTGGGAAGGAAGCGAATTGGTAGGACCGATGGACGCCGTGCACTGCAGTTGGGAGCTGGGCTAAGAGTTGCCGTAGGACGGAGAAACAAGGCCTAAGAGGAGGTGAATGGGGAGCGGAGGAACGGCGGGGATGAGTGATGTGTGTGGTGCGGCGGAGGATGCAATGGCCCACTCGCCTTGCCGTCGCACTCGTCTCGTGCCCTTCGCCTTCGCACCGTGGCAAATGCGGAATCGCTTTCCGCGCGCTCCGCTGCAGCGAGTCGCTGCATGCCACTTGGCGGAAGACATTGAAGCTTCTCCTTCCGCGCCCGTTTTTCATCCCCGCGTGCGTGTCTTCGTTCGGTCGTCTTCGCTCCGCCGCATCGGGTCGCTTCCGAATCGGCCATTGCAATCATGGCAGGATGGACATCGTCGCGTCGCCCATGGCTGTTCACAAACATTCTCTTTCGCGAAGGCAGCGAAGATCTGTTGGAATTCTCGCACCGGATACGTGCTTGCGTCGGCAAGCATCATGTCGTGGCGTCGTGAGCCTGAGGACGTGAATCTGGCGCCGTGCCTGTCACGAAGCACCAGCGAGCGTAACAATGCGCGGCGAGGATAGCCGCGAGCTAAGACCTGGAGATAGGCGTGAGTGATGGAGGGGAAGAGACGTGACGCGCCAATCTCCCCATAGCGCGCCGTGAAGGCGATGTCGCCACGCCATTCGCATCTTCGAGAACAGGCCGTTTTACCGGTATTCCATTGCCGTGCGAGATTCAACGGCGTCGCAGCGCGCTTCGGAACCCCTACGTTTTCAGCCCTTCGCCTCGAACCGATGTCGACCGCAGTGCCGCCTGTCGCGTTCAGCGCGCCTTACTCAGCTCGCCATCATCGTCTGACAGGCGAACCTCCGCGGAAAGAACCTCCATGATGCGTCAATTTTCTACGCATTTGATCTGGTGATAGTAAGTCCGTTCAACATTACTTGTGGAGATTAGGCATGGCTCTTGAGGTTCGGTTTTGAATACCCAAAGCCTTGGTTCATCGCAGATCCGACGACCATCACAGCATCGACTCACGATCCAATGATGGCCGACGTGGCGACACACCATCGGCATCATCCCACGTGAACGTCAGCATCTCTGCCTCTCCAGAGGAGCCTCTCCGATCGGTCTTCTACCGCCTTTTCCACTCTCATCTGCCCGACTGTTGCCTGCCGCGCGATGCACGCTTGGCACCGCGACGAACCGAGGAGTTTTCACGCGACGCAGAAAACGATGGCGGGGAAGCTGCTAAGGAGACTGACTTGGCGCGTGGGACGCAGCCGGTCCGGTTCATGGTGCTAGGGCAGGTGGCGTACCTCTCTCCTGACTCCACTATTGAGCGAGCGAGGCTGAAATCAGGCTCGATTGTCAAGGTGCTTCCTGTAAGGACACTGGATCATGGAGACGGACTCGGTAGTAGTAGTAAGGGTAAGGGTAAAGCTGAAGAGAGTGTGATGGGCCCTTCTGCTGCGCCTGCTGCTCCTTCTCCTTCTGATTGCTCCACTGCAGCAACTGCTGCTGCTGCTGGGTCTGCTGAGGCGGCTGCTCTTTCTGCTCCGGCTGTCACACCTGCTGCGACTGCTCCTCCTACTGCCGCTAAAGGTGAAAACGAATAGCACATTATTCGTTTTTTACTCGAAATTCGGCCGACTCGAATACAAATCGAGTCGAGTTCGTTTTCCCTACTCGACAGAACTCGTTTTTGTTGTAGAGGACTCTCCTCTACTTTGCAGGAACTGGGAGTTGTTCTAAACGATAGAGCTCTGTCTTAGCTTTCCAACGAGCCGTCAAACACGTCGATCGCCTAAGTATTCTCCGAGATATAGGCGTTCACGTGCTAGGTGGTGCTCTTGAATGCAAGTAAAGAAGCTCTCTGGAATTTGTGTTCGAATGTACCTTGTGCAAAGAACTCTGAGTTTCACTATGATGGCATGCAATACAAAGAAAACAGATTTATAGCATGCAAACAAGATCGAATCGCACAAGTAACCTCGAACCGCTACACTCGCGAATGTTCGAGTAACATCGAAAGGGTGAAATTCGACTCTCGAATTTCACCGATCCGAATTCTCCTTGGGTCTCGAATGTTCCTGGTGCTGCCATGTGGCACCGAATCGAATGGGTCTTCCGAAGTCAATCCTCAACCCCACGCAAACCTGCAACTCACTCGAAGGTGAGCACAAGTCACACATTCGGTGGGTTGGGGGCATACAAACGCCCCACCACCACCTTGCTTCCAACACACGTAATCTCCAACACTCCCCCTTGCACCCAACCCACTAGGTGTGCAAACCAACATGCTCATAGCATGCACGGGATGAATCTTTAGGGGGTGGTTCCATGAGAGATTTCGCGTGTTCATCATCACCCTTGGTTGCGAAGCAAAATGCCGCGCCCTCCTTATCCGTCTCCCCAACGGCTACCGTAGCGTAGTCGTTGTACTTGGAGGGAGGACGAACCTCACGACGCTCGCGGGTCAAGGCCAATGGTAGGGAGGAAGGTGTGGAGGTAGTTGCCGCCTCGGTTGGTGACACCTCCACGACATCATCAATGCTCTCCTCGTTGTTCGCTCCCCCTCCATCGGCTTCCTTCTCCACTTGAGGTGGAGTCTCACTCTCTTCAACCTCCTCTCGTGGCGGAAGGATGAAGGTGAGTTGTTGAGTGGGTTTCTCCTTCGACGGGAACTTGTCTTCATCGAAGACCACGTCCCGAGACGTGACGACGCACTTGTCGCCCAAGTCCCACACTCGCCACGCACGCTCGTTCGCCGCAATTCCCAAGTAGATCGCCGCACGAGCCTTCGGTTGCAACTTGTGGCGAAGGGGATCCGGTACATGGTAGTAGCAAAGGCACCCAAAGGTGCGAAGGCGGGATAGGTTCGGCTTCGTTCCGGTCCATGCTTCGAACGGAGTCATTCCCGGGAGCACCTTCGTCGGCAAACGGTTGCGAATCCACGCCGCTAGCGAACTCGCCTCGCCCCACCACTCTTTCCCAAGCTTGGAGTGTTGAAGAAGAGAACGAACGGCTTCCACCAACGTGCGATTAAGCCGCTCCGCCGCTCCATTTTGTTGGGGTGTGTAGGGTGTTGTGACGTCGTGCTTAATGCCCTTGCACTTCATCCATTTCTCGAGCTCCGCATTCACGAATTCGCCACCACCATCGGTGCGAATACACTTGATCCGCTTCTTGTCATCGTCGCAAACTTCGAGCGCCCACTCTTGAATCGCCTTGACTGCATCTCCCTTAGCCTTCAAAAGTCGGGTCCAACACATCCGCGTCGCGTCGTCGAGCATCACTAAGAGGAACCGCGCTCCTCCCTTTGATGCATGCCGCATCGGTCCACACACGTCCATATGAACAAGTGCAAGCGGGTCCTTAGCGAGGGGTGACGTTCGGCTACCGAATGGCTTGCGAGCCATTTTTCCTTCGACACACGCCGCGCACACGCCCTTCTCGTCGTCGCCGGCGATCACGTCGACTCCCTTCGCAAGTCCTTTGTTGGCCAACTCCTTGACCGAGTCGTAGTTGGCGTGCGCAAGCCGATTATGCCACGCCTTGAGAGTCGCCTTGGAGCCTTGCGCCACGTTGGATGAAGCCGCTCTCGGGTACGTCTTGAGTTGGTAGATATCTCCGTTGAGAACACCTTGCGCGAATTGCTCCCCCTTCCAAAAGAGGTTCATTTTCGCACCGTCGATCGTGGCGATCACTCCCTTCTTCGCAAGTTGCGGGACGGATAGAAGCTTCACCTTCACCCCCGGGACGTGAAACACGTTCGTCACGTCCACTGGACCGCTATCGACGATGAGGCGCGTACTCCCAACTCCGACCACCGGTAGCGATTCGTTGTTTCCGAACACGATGCTCGTGACGTCTCCCGGAGCGCCAATGTTGTTGAGGAGCGACGCCGAGTGCGTCATGTGTTGCGTTGCGCCGGTATCGAGGAACCATGCGTCGCTTGGAGTTTTGTTCCCGTTGCCGGCCACTAACACGAGCGACTCCTTTGAATCATCGGCCTCGCCGGATGCCGTGTGCGCGTTGCCCTCTTGGTCCCGCGCCATCGATGGAGTCCAATCGCTCGGCCGCTTTCGACACTCACGCCAAAAGTGTCCCGGTTTGCGGCAATAGTGACACTTGCCGCGATGCTCGCTCCCACCGGACGATTCCTTCGTTGCGTCCTTGCTCCACTTGGACTTCTTTCCGGAACTCCCTCCGGAGTACATGGCGGCACCCTCGCTCTCATTAGCGAATTGTCGGCGACGCGATTCTTCATGGAGAAGCCGACCAACCAACATTTCCTTCGTCCAAGTGTCTTGCACGCTATCGAGTGTCGTAATCACCGTCGACCACTCTTCCGGAAGGCCGCAAAGCAAGAAGAGAATCCAATCCTCCTCCGTGACCGTTCCACCGAGGTCCATGAACGTTTCCCCGAGTGAGAAGAAACAAGGAATGAAATGACTAAGGGAAAGTTGGGTACAAAATGCAAACCCTAGAAAACTGTACCCCATATGTGCTACCCCACTATAGCCTACAGTAGCTCTGTCATATAAATCTGACACACCCCCATAGGCAAAGTGGGGGAGAACAAGGGGTCACAAGACCAGTCAAGCAAAGCAAAGCAAGCTCAGGGTGGATCACAAAGTCACCACGCATTCCGAGCACAAGTTCAAGGCCACAAGGCCAGTTCACATGCAGGAGTACATATATATATAAAGGCTAGACAATCAAGAGCAGGTATATATATATGTAACAGCACAAGCAAGGTCAAGAGGTGAGCAAGTGAGGCAAGGTAGGCACAAGGCCCAGCTGAGTACAGAAGCGCTGATGGTCACAAGGCGCAAGAGCCTTGGTGAAGATATCAGCAGTGTTGGCCTCAGAGGCCACGTACGCAAGACGCAGCTGACCACGCTGCTGCAGCTCACGAGCAAGAAAGTAGCGGAGAGCAATGTGCTTCGTTCTGTGCTCCAGTCGCTGCTCCCGACACAAGGCCAGCATGGCCTTGTTGTCTACGTACAGCACTGGAGGAGAACGAGGCAGCTCTCCGAGGTCAGTCAGCAGGTAGGTGAGCCAGCGAAGCTCCTGTGCAGCCATGGCTCCTGCGTAGATCTCAGCCTCACAACTGGAGCCGAGAACAGAAGACGAGCGGGTAGCCCACCACGAGACAGAGCCGGAACCAAGGCTGAAGGTGTAACCCTGTGACGACCGCTGCGTAGCCTGGTCGTCAGCCCAAGAAGCGTCTGCGTGCCCAGTAAGGACCACTGGACTCTGCCCTCCAAGCACAAGCCCCATGCCCGACGTACTGCACAAGTAGCGCAACACCCTCTTCGCTGCAGCCATGTGCTCCGGTCTGTGTCTCCCAGGAGCAACATAGCGTGCAAGAATGATAAGAGGGTATGCAAGGTCAGGTCGTGTGCAGGTCATCAGGTACATGAGGCAGCCAACAAGCTCTGGGTACGGGCCACTCGACTCTACGGACTCATCCGAAGGCAGAGCTGAGAGCGAGTGGCGAGTAGGCAGAGGAGTGGCCTGAGGCGAGGAGTACGTGAAGCCGAAGCGCTGAAGGACCTGCTGCACCATGTGTGACTGAGTCAGGGTAATGGTGCGGCGTGCTCTGTCCCGAGTGATCTGCAAGCCAAGGTAGCTGCGCAGTT